GTCAACCAAGCTGTCAACAAAGATGGTAGTGTAGCATGATTGTAAATAAAATTATTCTTACAATATTACAATATATACCAGAAGGAAGGGTAACATTGTAATTAGATTCCTATATAATCCTAGGTCTAGCGAATCAAGAACTGGTACGTACCTCCATCCGTTATCCAAAGTACTGTTCATCATCTCTGATTCCTCCCTCACTGGTCAGAACACTAAGATCCATAAAACTCTTCGGATATTCCTAGGTTTTACTTCTAGATCAAAGATCTGTAAGTTCTTAAACAAATTTCCTTCTTTTCTCAGCCTGTTTTAGTAAAAAAAAAAAATTTCTGTAATGTTTCTATTCATTTCTTGATAATACTTTAGTTTCTTAGTGGGTTGATTTTCTTGCTTTTCTTGGATTTGCTATAGAAATTTTAGATCTTGAAGTAAATCTTGATGATTGCGACAAATTGAAACAACCCATTGAATCACTTGTTTACATGCTCAAAATATTTGTCAATTTTTAGTTTACATCTTTGATAATCTGCTGTGTCGTTTAATTGATAATGAAGTTATGATAAATTTTAGTTGCCTGATCATAATTTTGAAGTATACTTTATGGGTTCATTGTACTTTTTTAAACGCATTTTTCCCCTTTCCCAAAAGTTTTATTGCAAAATACAAAATTATTCTTGTTTGTGGATATTTATAAGAATATTGGACACCCATCCACTTGCTATTTTTCAGTAATTATTAAGAGTATTTTGTTTTTGTTTTTAATCCGGAGAAGAGTGAGATAATCTAGGTCTTTTATATTGATTTAGGACCACAGCAATTTTTTTTTCTGTACTGGAGTATTTGATTATATATTTTCATTGTTCAGCTATTATATTTTGAATCTAACAAAGTTGATATTTTCCTTCATTTCAGGTGCCTTGGGGTATGCATCTGTGATAATTACAAATTGGATATAGGATTGACCAATATACCGTGGCTGAGTCTATAAGTTGTTATTTCTGCTTTGAACCTAAACATTATTTCTGTCATTATGGGATCCAATCACCTTCCTTTCTTTGTTTGTTTTATCTATATTCTTTAAGTTTGAGATCGAAGCAGGCAAATTAAAATAGTTCAAACTTGTTTTGTCTTCTTTTCTGCATTGAGTTCACAGCTGTTGTAGCTTTGATTTTGTTCAAATTGATAAGATCCCATCTATATCTAAACCTCTGTTTCTTAACCTTGTTTCCCGTGTCTTTATCTTTTGTGGTGCTTCTCTCATTTGCATTTGCATAGAATTTGAAGTTAGTTCAAAGTTCAAAAGAAGTTATGGTGTGCCGAGGAGCTAGTCAGACAAGATTTAAGGCATTAAAACATGAAAACGGGATTGCTGGGAGAACAACCATTATAGTTAGAGTTATAGCATGCTTTCAACCTTTGCAGATTTGCCAGGTTAGTTTGTAGCGTTGGTTGTAATGTTGCATGTTACTTCTCATAAATTTGAATTTTTTTAATCAATTAACTGTTTTTTTCATATGCTGGTTTCTTGTATCTGTAATAATCTTTACTGAAAGGCTACTAATCTTTTCTGTGTTCTTCTGCTCCCAGGCCGAATATTTTCGCCAGTTGTTAAAACCTGTTACGTAGATTGATCCCAAGTTTCCATCATCACACCAAGCTAGCAATACAGCATCCTTTCCCTCTTTTTTATAGCGTTCCTGAAAGTAATTAATTGGCTGGTTAAATACGAGCATTATCCTGGTATAATAATTTGATGTGCACAAAATTTTCTTGATTCATTGCAATAGTTTCCTCATTAATTCCAATCCTAATTATTTACAATAGGTTGTTTTGGCTGGATGGTTACATCCAAAGAATTACAGACTCGTCAACAGTTTTTTGCATGGAATTCACATATGCCAACTTCGGACGGCATGGCACTAATGCAGCTGGGGCAAAACTATAGTTTGCCGCGTTCTTCCACATTTTCTGTTGACGTGGCTTTTCCACCATGTTCAGTTTCTGATTTGCCTGATTTGAACTCTGTACAACTAAATAGAGCTGATGGATTCTATAATGGGCTGCCTCCTCTTTGGGAGAGTTCAGCTCCGTCCTTACATCCATATTTAAAAGATTCTCAATGTGCCGTACCCCATGGGCCTGGGGTTAGTGCTAGCAGAATTGATGCTTTGCATACTTGTCGGAAAAGGTTCCTCGTCGTCGATCAGTCCGGAAATCACAGGAGAGTGTTCATTAACCCTTTTCTCCCTCCTCAAAATCAGATTGTTTCTTCTAAGACTCCTCCGGGTGTTCACGCCTCATGTAATGAGAAATTAGCACTTCAAGTAGAGAAACAATCCTTGGTGAAGCCTGTTGTTCAAGAGAAATGGAAGGAAAATCATTTAACAAATGGAGGAAGTGAGATGCATGAAGACCCTAAAGAAATCGATGCTTTACTTTATTCTGATAGCGACGATGAATATGATGATAATGATGAAGTAACTAGCAGGGTGCATACTTCATTTGGCATTGAGGATGCTTATGACAAGGACATACAATTTGAAGAACTTATTGAAGAAGTTGCGAGTTCTGATGGCTCGACTAAAAGGAAAAGATTGCTTGATGGTAGGTACAAGATATCATCTCTGTTGGTCGATGGAAGCCCCGTAAAATTGACTACTTCATGCAACTACAAAGATGATGCGGAGTCAAGTGTTGCCCACAAGATAAACTCCTTTGATTATTTCAATTCCACGAAAGGATTGGAGGAAGTTAAAATCCACGAGACACTGAAGATTCTCAAGAGTATTATTCCCAGGTCAAAGAGTAAGGATCCGCTGTTGATAATTGATAAAGCTATTGATTACTTGAAATCCTTGAAACGTGAGGCCGAGGCCGTGGGAGTTAGCTACCCTAGAGTTTCGAATGGTGCTGTTGGTTGATCAGACAACTTTCGACCAAAGGGTATTGAGAAGACCAGTGTTTTGAATAAAATTATTGATGGATTTGAAAGTATTTAAGGTAGCTTTTCCTTTAATGAAACCTTTACAATGCTTTTCACTCTAAATAAGGAGCTTAATGGAATGGATTTTGTTCTTTATTCTCATTACTCTCAAGTAGTGAAGAAAAAATGGAGCTCTACAGTTGACCTTTAATGATTATTTTTTAGCCTTTTGGGGATTGTTAAAGCAGGTATGACAGGTTCGAATGGTGTGGTTTGCTGTTACTGAGGACTTCTTTTTTCTGGGATTGATGATCACACCATGGATTAAGGGCATGCGCATTTGGTGATTAGGTCCCACCCTCCATTCTCATTCCCATTTGTTTCTTGATTTTATGCCTTTTCCCCCTTGAAAATCTTGTCTTTATGAGGGTTCTCACTGAGGGGTCCCCCCAAAAGATTCATCTTGAATTTGTTTGTTTCCCATTTGTGCACCTTTGTATTGTATGTTTGGAGTGTATCTGTCTTTTAGTTCTCGTATTGGCAACTATTATTGTAATAAATATTAAAAGGTTTGTTTATGTTTCACTCTGTTATTATTGCTTTAAATTTACAGTGTTTAACACATTTATTTACTCGAAGAGTTAGTATCACTTCCACTGTCTCCAATGGAAAGAGGAAGCTTTGTGCTTGAAGTGCCTTTACCGGACTATTCTTCGATCATTGTAGCTCGAATGCTCTTTCTTCATCGATTTCATTAGCATACAACAATAAGAATTTATACTAGATGCTTAGAGCTTATAATTTGTTCGGACTTGTAAGTCAATCAAAGCTATACTACCGCTAGATTCTAATAGAAATTTTTCATGACTTAGGAATTAGGATGGACTACTTGATCGATCTTTGGCGGTCACCCCTCCAAACTGCAATGGAGATCACTAACTTTGATTCGTGGGCTCTCTTGATAGTGATTGACCTCGTCAACTTTATCCTTTATATATACATCTTCATTTATATTTTAAATTGCCGTGAAGAAGTTCGAATTCCTTATTTTTTTCCCCTTGATGATGCAGGGTGGTTCAACAAACAAATGTATCATATTACATTATATAGGTAGTTATTGACTTAATGAACACTGCTTAGGAAAATATTCCAAAGAAAAATGATCAATTTGATGCAATGACTAAGATTGGTTGATTAATAAAACATTGTTTTATGAATAATGATATATATCATTATGATGATGGAATATCGATGATATGACAATTTATGTGAAATAATGAATTGTACAATTCAATTTTTATGAGAGAGAGGAGAAGAGAAGACGTACGTCTTTCTCTGGACTGTTCAGCTTCTCTTCCAATAAAAGAGCGTCAACAATGCATTCAACGAGGAAATTTCGTCAATGAAAGCATTGACTAAGAAAAATTTACAACTTCTTTTTCCAAAACAACATCAAATTCTTACAAATTTGCGACGAAGTTTAACGGTGAATCATGTTAGTTGCAGTGATATTAATTTCTGTCAATTGGACGAGAAAAGAAGTCAAATAAATGAAATATAGCTAAAGTATTATCACATATCAAGTTCCAATCCAAAAAATTATGCTTCGAATTTTCAGTCTCAAATTGAGATCCGCTATTGGTATAATAAACATTTGAATTGGAAAACAAAAAAGGATATTTCGAGATGAATTATAGTCATTTGAGTTAGTTTTGCAATGCATTATGAATCATCTCAATCGAATATCGAGAGAAAAGGTTATGACAAAAATAATAAAGGTTGCCCATAAGAGAAATTAAGGCTCGCCCCATTGCGTGCAAATGAGTACAAGCTCCTTAGTATGATTTTCCTGCAAAATGTGGGGAACCTCCATTAGACCTAAATTTCATCATATTCTACATGTTTTGGAAGCAAATAAAGAAAAGGCTAGCCAGATAAAATTAAGGCGAATTACATATGAAATTGAAGATTCTTCATCCGATTTCAAGATTCTTCATATATTCAAGACTTGAGTAATTTTAGTTAATTATTGTGTTCTTGATTAAATATGCATTAATTATGCACTATTTGAATGTTTGATCACAATTTAAATAACTTGTTGTTTATTCGTATTCACAATAGGTAGAACACAACATATTTATCACATGGACAATAGATACTATGAATAATATTTATGGCATTTGCAATTTTGTGAAATAATATTGTTATTGAACGCATGCTTTCCATATGAATTCAAATTAGGAATATGATGGGATCATGTTAAATATAAATTTAATATATCTTAGGAGAGAATATTCGATATTAAATGATTATTATTTGTCATAAACATCTAAATCAAGCCGAGTTACAAAAGTTGAGAATTGGAACTAGATACCAATACGTGGATTCTGCAATTCAATACATTCGCTAAATATTTGATAAAAAAAAAAAAAAATCTCGTTTTAATTGATTTCTTAGTTAAAATTCGTATAAAAAATATTCCAAAATGTTACCACATATCGAATTTGGTATAACTAGTCAACCGAAATTAAACATTATTTATCGTGGGAGAATAAGTCTCAACTCACTTTATCTATTACATGTCAACGATCTCGTGCACTTGCGAGTTTGCTCGAACACCATGTTCTGAAGTGATTAAATTTAAAAATAAATTAAAGTTTATTGACTACATTGAAACTAAATTAAAGTTAAGTGACCCAATAGGAAAACACATACACACGCACACGAATAACTAGAAATCTCAATGAACTAAACGCTAACAAATTTATATAGCAAGGGGTGTTGGGGTTGGAATGATGGCAAATTTCCCCCTTTTTTTTTTTTCCCTCGCATTCTTTTCAATTTTTTTTCTTTTCTACTTTTATTAAAGAAATGAAGAATTTACCTATTTAACATTCAAAAGTTGGATATGTATGTCTTACATAATTATTTAATGTCAATTTGGATGAAATTCATCTGAAAAAGATAAGGAAGACACGTAAAAAATGTACTGATTATGTCTAAGTTTCTATACTGTCCAATTTAACGTAAAATATATATTAATAGGTTTAAGAATAAAAGATTATACTTTTATACATCAAGCGATTGGTAAAATTAAATTAGACAGTAATGAAAAGGTCATAAATTGGTAATATACTATAATTAAATGGGCTCTATTGATTCGGAGTAACTGAAGGCTTGGAGCTCTTAAAGAAGCCCAGCCCATCCCATCCCATCCCATTCCAGCCCAATGTTAATCAGAGTGTCTCTACCGTTTGATTTTGTTAAAAGTAGAATTTTTAGTAGATTTTGATAAAAGTTGATGGAATGTATAGTTAAAAGTTGTGAATATAATGAAATTTGTAGTTAAATTTAATTATTAATTATTAATTAATTTTTTAATCAATTTTTTAGCTAAACAAACATAGACTTAGTTCCTTGAGATTTAGGTTTTCAAAAAGGAAAATTAGGCTGAATTATATTAATGTTATGCTACACAAATGTTTGAACTCATGGCCCTACTTTTTGGTTAGGAGGGATTTGGGTTTGATTTTGAGTTTTGGATTTGGGCTTGGGATGATGTTCTAAATAGCTGGAGGATTAAACTAGATGTTATGAATAGCTGGATGAACAACTGAGATTATACAAATTGAAGGATCATCAAGTAATTTAAATAGTTAGAGGACCTATTCAGTTGAGTTAAATAATTGGAGGAGCGATTTAGTTTAGTTGAATAGAGAAGGGCCAATTTAGATGTTCAAAATAGTTCGAGGATCTATTTCGTTATAGTTGGAGGACCAATTTAGATGTGTTGAGTAGTTGAATGATCTATTTAGATGTGATCAATTGTTGGAGGACTAATGTAGATGAGTTGAATAGTCAAAGGATCGATTTAGTTGAGCTGAATAAATTGAGAACCTATTTAGTTGATATGGATAGTTAGATGACTTAACTAATGATCTTAATAGGTGGAAGATTAGTTTACATCTTCACAATAGTTCAAGGATGAATTAAGATGTTATAAATAATTGGAGGATCAATTTAGACGAGTTAAATAGCTAGAGGGTCAATTTAGTTAAGTTGAAGGACTTATTTAGTTGAATGAATAATTGGAGGATCAATTCAATTATTCGAAATAAATAGAGGATGAATTTAGATGTGTAAAGTATTTAAAGACCAACGTATATGAGTTTAAAAATAAGAGGACATATTTATTTGATTTAATTACTTAAGAGGACTTATCTAGATATTTGCATAAGTTGGAGGATCTATTTAGATGTTCAGAATAGTCAGAGGAACAATTTGGATGTTGTGTATAGTTGGAGGGGTCTACTTTGTTCAGCTGATCATGGAGGACCAATTATGGCATTTGGTATAGTATAGGGCTCAATTTAGATACTTTGAATTAATAGAGGATAAATCTAGTCTTGTCGTATAGTTGGAGGATGAAATTAGATAAGTTGAATATTAAGGGATCAGTGTATAGGAATTGTAGAGTTGGAGGATCCATTTGGTTGCACAGAATTGGAACACCTTTTTGGTTTAGTTTTTAGTTAGAGGATTTGTTTAGATGTTCAGAATAATTGGAGGATCTACTTACATATTTAGTTAAGTTGTATAGTTAGAGGACCTATTTTGTTGAATTGAACAATTGGGATATCATTATCAATATTTAAAGTAGTCGTCAGATCAATTTAGTTGCTTGGGATAGAAGGAGGATGGATTTGGATGTGTTAAATAATTGAAGGATGAATGCAAAATGTGATGAATAGTTGGAGGATTAATTTAGATGGGATGCTAATTAGGGGACCTATTTAATTGAAATGATTAGATGGAGGATCGATTTAGATGTTCTACAATAGTTTGTTGATCCATTTAGATGTTCTGTACGGTTGTAGGACCAGTTATGATTTTATTTAGTTGAATAGTTGGAGGGTTAATCTAGATGTTAAGATTAAATAGAGGATGAATTTAGATTTAATGAATAGTTGGAGGATCAATTCAGATGAATTGGTTAGTTGGAGGACCTATTAAGTTGAATTAATAGTTTGTCGATTATTTTAGATGTTTGTAGTATTTTGAGGATCAATTTAAATGTTATATATAGGTGAATTTGGAAGTGTTAAATAGTTGGTGTATGAATATGAAATAGTTTTTGGACGAATTTAGATAATGAGTAGTTGGAGAACCTCTTTAGATGAGACTTAGTTTGAGGATCCATTTATATGTTCTTTATAGTTGGAGGACCTATTGTGATATGTGGAATAGTTAGAGATCCTATTTTGTTAAGTTGAATACTTAGAGGATCAATTTAGAAGCTTATAATAGTTTCAGGATCAATTTAGATGTTATAAAATATAGAGGATGAAATTAGATTTATTAAATAGTATGAGGATCAATTTAGATGAGGTACTTAGTTGCATGAACTGAACAGTTTGGGGATCAGTTTTATGTTTATAGTAGTACTCGAGGATCAACTTAGATGTTTGCAATAGGTAGAGGATGTATTGTAAATTATGATATCCCGTTAATTACATTAGTAACATGAACACGATAGGATCAAATTGTCAATTGTACCCATCTCACGCCTATGCTGCATCAGGTATGAAAATCAAAATATGTCAAACATAATTTATTTTAAATAATACTCAAACCTCTAAAAAAAAAAAAAAACCATGGCAAAAACCATTGACTTGATTGAATCATTTTTCATCTTGAAAATCATAACTCGTTCTCGTGGATCATCATTTGTTCCAAGAGTGATTTTCCATCAACTCGAGAATTTGTTAGCTGTTTTTCAATATATTCCTTATACTTCATCGGAATATATGAAGCACGACGATCTCTTGCCACCAGCGGTGGAGCAGGGCCGAGAACAGTGTTCACTGATGGACCATTGGCTACCACAAGTGAAATCCTCGTCTTCTCGTTATTCAAAACAGCTCTATGCTTCACACTCTTGCATCTCCCATTGCTAAATATCTGTTGAAATGAGCTACAATCAATATGTTATTTGCATAAATTGTGCTTGTGGATTTGTGGTTAAATGCACTATAAACTAGATTGCCTGAAAAAAGAAATGAGAAACACGATGATTAAAGAAATATTATCTCTCAAAACTACGTGGACCCAAAGAGTTTAGATGAATTGTATTATTAACTTTTCATATAAGAGAAAAAGTAAGAACAAGGGAACTAGGAACAACAATAGAGAAATAGTCAATTTAATGTTAAGATTAAGATTTATTGTGGGTAAAAAATCCTAATCCATTGCCAAATAAATCAAGATAATTTATGCCCTCCGTTTGGAAGAATTTATAAGCAGTTTAATTTATATATAGATAGAAATGAGTGGTGGATAAGCGGATAATACTTGTGCATTTATTAAAATGTGTGGTTGAAAACGAAATTTGATTTGATGCTTATATTTTCTTGATTAAATACCTTTTAAGTTAAAGAAAGTTTCCTTGAATTTTTTAATTTGTTAAAAAATAAAAATTCAACTGCTTTTCTAGAATTTTCTTATTTGGAAAATTTGGATTTATGTTCGCAAAAACTTACCTCAAGCTGATCACCAGTGTTAACAAGAATAGAGTTGTGAGGTGAATTGGCATGAAACCATTCTCCATTGTGTTCTATCTGTAATCCAGCTACCCCATTATGTATCAGAAAGGTCAAAAGGCCATGATCTGTGTGTGGTGGTATGCCGATTGCACGATCCGGTTCAGGACAAGGTGGATAAAAATTTGCTGCAAATAATTGAAACATTGACTCCAAATTTAGGGTTTCTTCCATGTAGCTTTTCTCTAATCCCATAGTTTCTGATATTGCTTCAAGTAATGCCCCGGCTAATTTTCTAGTCCTTACACTGTAATTTAGTAGGGCTTCCCTGCAAGAATATTAGTGGGTCGATTACTCGACACGATTAAGAAAAAAACAAGTTCAAATTTTGTGCACATTATTGGATCTTGGAACTGCATCTTAAAATACTAATTATTGTATACATAAGTTAGAGGAAATTACAAAAAACTAGGTGTTTAATGAATGATTTTCAAAAATCAGGTTTAAAGTTTAATTATTCAAAAATCGGGTAATAATTTTATATTTTAATTAATATTAAACATAATATTATTAATCCTAATTTTATCAATTCTCCATTCCTCCCTCTCGTCTCCCCCTCTCCCCCTCGTCTCTCAGCGACGCTGCTCTGTGTGTGTGCAATGGCGGAGTGGAGTTATGGTGATAGTGTTGCGTCGGGGTGTGGTGATGGTGTTGATGCTAGTTGTAGTGGATTCAGATTTGGTTGGTGGTGGTGGTGGTGGTGATAGTGTGTGGCTGGATGCGGTGGTGGTGGTGGGTGTGTGTGCTGGTGGTATTGGAGACGTGTTGGCGGCACTGTCGGTGTGTGGTGTTTGAC